GCAATATTATTGGTCTTGATCTGTCAGCTCTGCTTCAATCACTTTCCCTCCACCATAAGGTGACCACACTTTGTCTTTTCTATAAATATTTCACACCAATTTATTGTTGAGCTGGCTAAATGTAAATTCAATGCTAACAGTTTGCTTCTTTGTCCTTCTCGCTTGTGGAACTCCCTTTATGTTCCATGCTTTCCACCCAACTTTAATCTGCAATATCAATCGCTATCTTCTGTCCTAACTATTTTTTGCTGACATTGTCAAAAATTTTCCTTAAATAATATTTAAAAATAAAAAAAATAATTAAAAAACAAAAAAATGGGAGCTGCTAATATACATACTTAAATTTGATATGTAATAATAATTTTTAAATAATTTAAGTAATTCTATTACATTTATTTGCTTTAAAAATAGTCTATTAGTAATTAAGAGTAAAAATAATATTTTAAAATTGTTGTTTGATATAATGTATTCTAACTCAAACACACCTTTCAGAAAGAATCTTTGTGTATACAAGTATGAATTTAATGGAAAAAAATGCCAAAAAACTTTTTGTCATTGATAAAAAAAAACAGACGACATGCATTGAACGGATGTCAGAATTCATTGAAAAATACACCCCTACCATAACTAGACTTAACCTCTTTTTCGAACGTAACTCATAATTGATACAATAATAGTTATTAAAAATGAACACGCTACTGCCCCTGTCTAAATGATTAGATTTCTCTGTATCCTTGGAAACAAAAAATTATGAATTGTATGTGCATTTAAAACTCAGTAAATTTAAAAATATTATTATTTATTAAATTTCACTTGAAGATAAAACAGAACTAATACTTTTAATCTAATTATATAATTAAATTTGAAGTTTTTAGCTTCAGTTTTTGAAACATGGTAATTCCTGTGTAGCGAAGGAACCTTATTTTTAAATCAGTTAATTTATAATATTCATGCTCTGTAAATTTACATTGAGCACTGTTTTGTAAAAATAAAATATCAATAAGAACACGGATTATATATCTTACTGTTCTTTCTTTTTTACTATAAATATATATATATATATATATATATATATATATATATATATATATATATATATATATATATATGGTCCAGTGCTCCTGCTATATACTTAGAGATTCTTGATGAAATCCAAAGAATCTGCAATCTTATTGGTCCTGACCTGGCATCTCAGTTTCAGTCACTTTCCAGCAACTGTAAAGTTGCTGCCCTGTGCCTTTTCTATAAATACTTTCATGGTAATTGTTTGGATTAACTTTCCTCTATAGTACCTTGACTTTATGCATTTAAGTGCAGTACTAGATTGGTGGCAAGGTCTCATTTTACAGTTAAAATGACTAGATGTAACTGTAAGTTCTATGTTAACAGGTTGTTCTCTTGCTCTTCTTTCTTGTGGAACTCTCTTCTGGTTTCTTGCTTCCCAGTCAAAATTTTAAATGCAATGTCAATCGTTATCTACTCTCTTCCTGATTACTCTTGCTCCTCAATAATGTTTCTCTTTTTTCTTATTCTTTTACACTCAGTAACACCTTGTGTCTTAGTGGCTTTACTGCCTTACATGGGTGAAGTTGATTAAAAGTAAAAACAAATAACAACAACAAAGAAATAAAACAACAAAATGCCAACTGTCTTTTGGTACTCACTTTTCAGAGCCAATCAAAGGCAATTGTGTAAAATGTGTGCACAATATTAAAAAAAAAAAAAAAACAATTAAGAACTGCCATGGAAACAGCAGAAAAACAAAAAACAATAAAAATATGATTAAATTAATGCCCAGCAACCATCCCTTCAAAGAATTTCTGCCTAAAGTTTATCCATTCACAATTTGATTTATTATTTCTCTATTGAGTCATGAGTTTATTTCATTTGTATTGATGGAAAAGATTATTTTTAAACAAATAAAGTTCTTTTTTTAATCACATTAATGGTGTACAGTCACAACATTGAATGAACATGCAGATTGTAAATTTTAGTAATTTATTGTGTCAGATATGTAAAAGATAAAGAATTAACACTCATAGTTGACTTTCCTTATTGAAATAAAAAAATATTCAATAAATTATACAAAACTGACATAACTCTTTATTGGCTTCCAACATTGATAAGGAAGGGAACAGTTTCTGATAATGTTACTCTTATTATTAAAGTAAATATGGTCAAGTGGTTTACACAAGTTCTTGTTCAACAATTCTTGTTTTTTATCAACTAATAAAGCATTTTGTCTAGATATCTAGCTATGTGTAAATTATTTTCAGATAGTGTGTACCTGTAGAGGAACAAAATGAATATCAAGTTATACAAAAAAATTTGAACAACAAGTTGATTCATGCCTTTTTTTTTTCTTTCTTTTTACTAATAAATCGTCCAATATAAAGCCAAAGAGCCACTCAATGTAGTGTTTTATTGACTGATGTGAAAAAGTAAAAGAGAACCACTTTGTTTCATAGACAATATATTTAGGGATGTAAAAAAGAAGAAGAGAAAAACAGATGCAAATGACGAAAGAAACAGTTACTAAAAAGATGAATCTGACCAAAGGTTGGATGTAAAGACGATTGTTTAAGGAAGAAGAAAAACTTTAAATTTATGTCTTTGCCAAGAATTCTGGGAGGAAAAAAAAAACAGTGAATTAGTGCAGATTTGAAAATAAGAAATAACAAAAAATATTTATCTTTAATTGGATATCACAAAGATAAGGATTGCTCGCTATAAAGGAATTTATATATATTTATTCAAATGCACGGATATCTAAACAAAAGAAAACATTCAAGAAGGACAAATAAATAGAATTGGGTTGTGTTGGCAGGATGCGATTACATATTTAACTCCTGTTGAAACATTTCAGGTTGAAACCTGTTTTTCATTATACCTACGTCTATAGGAAAACAAGTTGAATTTACAAGTCTACATTATTTAAGTCTACAAATATTCACCTAGGAGGTAACCTCTTGAGTGGGGTCTTACTACACTGCAGAAATAAAGGACATTCTTTTTAACTCTCTCATATATACATGTGTGTGTGTGTGTGTGTGTGTGAAGCAGAAATACTGAAATGTTCCTGACTTTAAAAATCCTATATTTGATTTGATTTCACTTGGGAAATGGGTTAAGCTAAACTTCAACACGTCCAAGAGCCACTCAAGGTAGAGTTTTATTGAATGATGTGAAAAAGTGAAGAGAACCACTTCTTTGTTTCATAGACAATATATTTAGGGATGTAAAAATGAATAGAGAAACAGTTTCAAATTTCAGAGACAAAATATTTGGGATGAAAAATAAGAAAGCAGTTCCTAAAAACCGAATCCCACTAAAGATTGGATATAAAAAGGATCATTTAAGGAAGAAGAAGAAAAACATATAACAAATTGGAAAGATTTTATGGGACACAGTTTAATCGAATGAAATTAATATTTTTGTTGATGGAATTATGTGTGTTGGAAAGAGAGGATGTGTGTGTGTGTGTGTGTGTGTGTGTGTGTGTGTGTGTGTGTATATTTTGTCATCCACAGACAGACTGTTTCACAGCTCATCAGTGTGGATAGACACCCAGTTGCCTTTAGCTAGGATCGAAAACAGGCTGAATTGACATCAGTCAGAGATTTTACCACTAAGCCATTGGCGCACAGCAGGGAAGAAGGTGAATTTAAGCATATTTATTTTTAGGTAAGCACACAGTGACTGAGAGAACTCAATTAGATTTACCGAAGAGTCATGCATTATTAGTCATAATAGTGACTGTTTACAAACCCACACTTCCTCCCCAGAGAGCTCAATAAATTTTTCAGGCACACACAATTGTGATTCACAAGCAGTTCCCAGCCACATGTATACACACTTTTAGGATAGAGTGATCTGGTTTGAATTCAGTTTCCCAAGGCTATAGGACCCCAAGGCTATAGGACCCAGTCTGTTCCGCTATTCCACGATTATGAATATAAAATATTGCACATTGCATGCTGGTGTTAATAAAATCATGCTCAATGTATAATAGTTCCTCTCATTCCCTATGGAACTTTGGGTTCCTTTTGATGCCACAGCTGAATAAAAGCTGACCAAGTGCAGCAGAGGTAGCATTCATTTGGATGGGCAACTAGTAGGAGTTTCATTGGGAATTTAGATCCACAAGCTGTTCCCAGCCGCATGTATACACACTTTTAGGATAGAGCAATCTGGTTTAAATTCAAAGTTTCCTTTTCCTAGACTGGTTTCCACCCAAGGCTATAGGACCCAACCTGTCCTTATATTTTACCCATAGCTGGGGATAAGAAGCAATGCATTCACATGTATACTCTCCAGTATATTCCATAAATATAAGTACAATTCATACACATTATAAAAATATCACATATCCCTGTATATAAGAACATACCTATATACATAGGTACACAGCAATGTATTATGTGCCTGAACAAACATCTGCAACAGAGATTAGTTCACTACCCTAGCTGATGAGCATACAGAGAAACGACTGGACAGCTATTATTTTTAGATGACTGACAATTATCAGATTAGGTTTGTTGATTTTATGACTTCAATTCCTGTAGCTTAATTTAATGTCTGAAGAGAAATTGATATTAACTTTGATTTGTTTTGTTCCTGGTATGAATTATAGACTGAAAATGTCGAATTTTTTATAGGACCCCCAATAAGGATTGGGCCCACAACTCTGTGCTCAATCAGACCCTCCATGATGTGTCAGTTTTCAAGATAAGCAAATATAAATAGAAACAAGAAGAAAGCATAGAAATGAGCATTTGTTTGGTTTGATTGGAATTTTGTGAAGCATTTAGTTAAAATTGAACTCACTATCAATGGCTTGTGACATCTTGTTAACAACACTGGATGTTCTGAAAAGATGGAAAGAAATGGAAGCTGGTTGGGAGGAAAGAAGGTGGAAATGAAGAAGTAAAGTAAGAGGAAGGAAAGAAAAATGAAGAAGGGAGGGAGAGGAAGAGAGAAAAGGAATGTAAAAATAAAGGTTAAAGGAAAGAAGGGAAGAATAAAGAAAAAGAAGGGGATAATGAAGTGTAGAAGGAAGGAAGGAAGGAAGGAAAGAAGTAAAGAGAAGGAAGGAACAAAGAAGAGAGGAAGAGGAAGAGAGGAAGGGGAAGAAAGGAAGGGGAAAGAAAGGAAGGGGAAAGAAAGGAAGGGGAAAGAAAGGAAGGGAAGGAAAGGAAGGGAAGAAAGGAAGGGGAAAGAAAGGTGGGAGGAAGGAAAGAAAGGAAACAGAGAAAGAAATAACGGAACAAAAAGTAACAGAGAAAGGAAGGAATGAAAGAAAGGAAAAAGAGAAGAGAGAAAAAGAGAAGAGAGAAAAAGAGAAGAGAGAAAAAAGAGAAAAGAAGAGAGAAAGGAAGAGAAAAGAAAGGAAAAAAGAGAGAAGAGAGAAAAAAGAGAAGAAAGGAAGGAAAAGGAAAGAGAAAGAGAAGAAGAAAAAGGAAAGAGAGAAGAAAGGAAAGAGAGAAGAAAGGAAAGAGAGAAGAAAGGAAAGAGAGAAGAAAGGAAAGAGAGAAGAAAGGAAAGAGAGAAGAAAGGAAATAAACAGAAACAGATATATGTAAAAAAAATCTGCTGATATTATAAAAATTTCAGAACATGAGTAAATGAATGACAGAATAGGACTGAAGAGAGATGACAAAATTTATTAAGAACTACAAAAGATGGGAAATTGTGGAGAGCTATGATCGCTAACATCCTCAATGGTATGGCACATGGAAGAATAAAAAAAAATAAACATACTGACAAAGATCAAAGTAAATAAGACAAAGATAGATAAATTATAAGAGCAGATGTAATTACAATAATAAGTAGCTTTACTGACAGAGTGAAACATCAGGTCTGTATGTATGACACGTATAATAATTAGATATTGTTTCCAGTTTGGCATGTTATTTACCATTCTATAGACAAATTCCTTCAGCTGAAGAATTCCAGTATCAAATGTACTCAATTATAAACAGATAAAAATAAAAGGAAAGTTGTTTTGGTGTGTGTGAGTGAGTGGGGTGGATTGGAATGTCAAGGAAAAATTAGGCTAATTAAAAAAGGAAAATTAGTTTACCAGAGAAAATAATTATTTGTGGTAAAAAATGACAAACATATATCTCACCAGTCACAATGAATGGATGTTCTGTTGATTTCAATCTTTAGGAATGATTGTAAAACACTTGCCCTTTTGCTAATGCATGCTGGGATTTTTTCATAGCCAATAAAATAGGCTGGTTCTCAGTTTCATCTAACTAAGTCTGTTCTCAGTCAGAACACTACATTTGCTAGTCTGAACGTGCTCTTGTGTGTCAACCCCAATTCTTAATTTGTGAACCTTTTGCCATATTACTGTCGCTTTGCCTTATTACTGTTAATTTGCCTTGCATATATTGTTTGCTTGCATTATATTATTTTTTGCCTGTTCTTTTTTATTTTTCTTGTTATTACTTATTATGGACTTTGTCAATTCTGTTTGTTGGGCAGTTCTTTTACTTATTTTGCATTTGCCCATGGCAACTCACTTCACATGTCCCCTCAGGGAGGCTCTGTGCCTTGAAGAGACTATTGGGCCTTAAACTCACCCCCAATTTCAAGTGAAACTCATATGATCCATCACTAAAGATGCAGGAAAAATGATCGGCTCACTGTACCGCTCCAGTAAGTACCTGACTCCTCATGTCATCCTCTACCTTTATAAGAGGCAGACCAGGTTGAAAATGGAGTATTGTTGTCATATTTGAGCGGGAACTGCCCAGTCCTCTCCAGTCTCAATAGAGTTCAAAAGTATCTCCTCCAAGTCCTTGTAGGTGACAAATTATTCTCTACTCTCTCACCTCTATTTCACAGGTGATATGTGGTTAGTCTCACAATGATCTATCACCCCTTCCATAGAAAGTGCTTGAATGAACTACATTCCTTGGTTCCCCCAGGTCTTACCTTCATAGCTAGGACCCACCCATGCCATTTATATTCTAACAAACCTTCTACATTCCATCCATATTTCATTGGTGAGAAGTAAGTTCTTCTCAAACAACTTCTTCCTGTGAACCACTGCTCTGTGAAACTGATTTCCAAGAGGATGTTTCCCTGATTATTACAATCCTAACCTGTTCAAGCTTAGAGTCAACCATTACCTCTTAATGTAACCCGCTACTGTGAGTGATCCATGGCCATTGTACAGGGTGAACGTTACTGCAAAAGTAAAAAAGGAAATGAAGATGGAAAATATTCACAAGATGGAGACTTAGATTTTCTTCAAGGAAAAGAGTGAAGAACAATTCAAAAAGAGGAATAAAGAAGCAAGAGTGAAAGTAAAATGCAAGATAAAGGGCAAAGAAGATTTCAAAAGTTTCTGAAAATAAGTGAAGAAGAAAGTAAGGAAGTGATAGAGAGTGGAGAAAGAGAAACATGATAAGGAACAAAGGTGTCAACAAAACTGAAGCAGAATTGAAGAAGAAAAGAGTAATGAAAAAAAAGAGAAAGAGAGAGAAAGAGAGAGAAAGAAAGAGAGAGAGAGAAAGAGAGAAAGAAAGAGAGAAAGAAAGATAAGAAACAAAGAACGTGTCAACAAAACTGAAGTAGAACTGGAAGAAGAAAAGAGTAATGAAAAAAATAAGAAAAAATGGAGGAGGAGTAAGTGTCAAAAGATGTAAAATCGCTTTTGTTATGCTAAACAATCATGGCTCTCTACAACTTCCTGTCTTTTGTTATGCTAAATAACTTTTGACTCTTTACCTCTTTGTCATCCCATTTTTCCATTCATTCACAGAAACTCATTTGCCCCCACCTTTTCTTGCCTTGCGGATGTTAAATTCTCTAGATTCTTTTCTCATGTGTCCCAAAAATGTCATCTCGTTCTGATTGTAATTATGCTTTTTTCATTAAGACTTCCCCATTGTTCCCATGTTCTGCCCATTGTATTGTTAGTACTCGTCTGAAGAACCATATCTATCATTTAAAGTCTCTTCATCTTTGAAGGGGTTATCCAAATGGATTTGTTAAAAGGAGTCCAAACTTGAGCTTAGCTGTAATGCTCTTAGGAAAGGCATGAACTTAATTCTCCCTGTATTCCTTTTTATCACAAGTGGACAAACAAATTGTCAACATTTACATGTTTTGTTAACTGACAGTGAAGAGAATGAGTCAACCACTCATCCATAACTACTTACCCTAACTGAGTAGTAGTTAGAGTAAAAAGCTCTTACAACTATTGTCAGCCTTGACAGTCATTCTTGTAAAAAAAAAAAAAAAAAATTGGGGTTGTTGATTCTGGATTCGTGGCTGCCAGAGATTCTTCTGAATTTAGAAAACCAGACGTTCTTTGTTTGAATGTCACTTTTTTTTTTGTGATACAGTTCCTTAATCTCATTGAAAACATTTTTGTATTAAATTAAAATTTTATTTTAATTATTTCAATTTTTTCTACTTTTTTTTTAAATGTAAATGAAGAAAAAGAACATGAATAGATGGAAAGGAAGGTTGATGATGAGTACTTTTTGTTTTTTTTCTTACTATTTTCTTTATTATTCTTTATTTTTATATCTTCCCCATAAAAATGCCTTTCCTTTCTGAAAACAACTTTTGTCTTGCCTTCACTTCTATTTAATCTCATCATTCCCATTAAACAACATTATAAATGAAGCAGTTTTCAGGATCTTGGCACTCATCAGATGTTTATGGTTTTGGCTTTAAAAGAAATGGGATAAGGTGAATAGAAATTGAAAAGAATGATGAGAAAAAGAGAGGGAAAAAAAAGACAAAGAAAAAGAAACTATTGAGAAAAATTTTTCTCAATGTTTCTCTTTTACATCTGTTGCCATCAGACATTTTTCTTCCTGTCCCCACCCGCAAGTCTTGTCATCAGCATCTTAAAATCATTTTCTCAAAGCAACAATTTCCCAGTTTTTTAATCTATTAAATACTAGCAGTAGAGCCCGGCGTTGCCCGGTGATGTAACAGTAAGAGATAGATCAAGTATCGACCATCATAAAGACTGAAAAATAAAATTGACAAAGATTATTGTTTAAGGTTGACGGACACGCATGTCTTAATTCGTTTTTTTTTTTTTTTTTCGACTTGGTCAAACCCAAACAAAAACATTGTTTTCAATCGTTATGAGTCTACCAATTGAATAGAATTTTATTATAAACAATTGTCTTGTAAATGGAATTTTAAAGCATTCTGAATGTAAAAATAAAGAAAAAAAGTGTGCAAGACAATAAGAAACACTACCTGCCAAAAAAAAAAAAAAAGTGAAGTTTTGTTGAAATCGGTTGAAAAATGTAGGAAATCCGATCCCATATATAAATGAACACACACACACACACAAACAACGTGGGTTTTGTAATAAGTATAACTCGATATGAGTTGTCCCCCTTTCATTCTCATGATGCCTCTTAATCGTGTTTTCAAATTGATTTCATGCAAAAACAATTGTGTTTTTCCAATTTTTGGCGCTGTCAGAACCACCGCAAGGTAATTTTATGTAGTCCTGTGAAGTTTTGTTGAAATCGGTTGAAAAATGTAGCAAATCCGATCCAATATATAAACGTACAGACACACACACACAACCTGGGTTTTATAATAAGTATGATTGAACATCAAATAAATTATAATTTATACACTATTTAAAAAAGATTTTAAAAACAGATTCTAAAAACGATATAATATATTTTGTAAATTTCGTAAGATTTTTTAAAGATTTTAAAATGACTTCAGAAGATTTTAAAAATGAAGAAAAATTTTAAAATGACTTTGAAACGTTAAAAATTAGTTAAAAAAAGATTTTTAAAAATTTATATGATTTAAAAAAAAAGAGAATGATTTTGAAACTGGTTTAAATGACGAAAGCTTTAAAAAAATCCTTCAAAAAGCAGAACCCCCCCCCCCCCAAAAAAAAACTAAGAATGTAACAAGAAAGAAAATTGAATGACAAATAAATCATTTTTTTTTTGATTGACAAGATGGAGAGACAATGAGTTAAACAGGATTTTCCTTATTTACATACAGAATATTGTCCTCATCTTTGTTGTTGTTATCAAAACATTTTGGCTGTTGTGCCCTCTGGCCTTCATCAGGTAAATGTTGATCTGGGTAATCTGCAGGGAATTCTAATCTGAACCCTTTATTTAATCAAAGGAGGTAGACTGTTCCTGTCTGAGTAGAGGGATATCTTATATTTTTAGTAGTGCGCACTTATTGCTTGCCCTGTTTTCACTGCCAGGCAGAGGGATTGAACTCACAATGACTATGTCACCAAATTCATGAACTTTAATCCACTAGACTACTTGTGAATTTGGTAACATAGTAATTGTGAATTCCCTGTAGGTTATCCGGATTGACATATACCTGATGAAGGCCAGAGGGCACAACAGTCGAAATGTTGTGATAACAACAACAAAGATGAGGACAATAGACCAAATATAAACAGTGTAATTAACAAATAAATGGTCTTCATTCTTCAAGTAAATAATGATGATTCCTCATCCCAGAAATTTAAATAATTTTTTTTAGGGCCAAATCAATCTTTCTTTGGGCTGAAATAATTTCTTTTTATGAGGTAATTGATATTTTAGGGGGTTGAATATGGAGAGATTGAGGCGGGTCCTAGCTGTGACTGTTAGACCTCGCAAAACCAAGAAATGTAGTTCGTCTAAGCACTTTCTATGGAAGTAATGAATATTTATTCCTTTTTATAGTTTAATATAAACACTTCCAATGTGAAGAATTCTTTTGGCCTTGATCTGGAAACCAAACAATTGTGTAAGTTATGTTGCCCCATCATGGATATTGACGTAATTGTAATCTTATGGATTTAAAAAGAAAAAAATAATAAACAGTAATGCTTACACAAAATGAACTCAGGTAACACTAGTGTTTACAAAGAATACATTTCAATGTAACATAAGTGGAATTTGGCTTCTGAGAACAATCTAAAAATGGGCTTGACTTCATGTCTTGGTGTCAGATTTCATTAATATTGATAAATATCCCCAACTTGAAGAGTGGACAAATATAGAAATTTATCAAGCAAGCCTCAAGACCATTACAAGTCAAGAAGAAATACAGTACTTTTTATCTTCCAGCTATGACTTACATTTCACAGTAGACTTGTCTCTAGCCTGGTATGGCAGCCAGCCTAGGAAAAGGTAAACTCTATTCAAAGTCACTAGAATCTATTTTACACATTTATAAATGAAGTAGCCTGATTGGGGGCCCGGGTAGTGCTTTGTGACTCTTGCAATCTTAACAACATTTGTTTTTTTTTTCTACCTAGATTTACATATGTTACAAATTAAACAAAGCACAACTGACTATTAAAGGATGAAAAATTATTGCAGATTATGATGTTATTCAGTTTGTTTTTTCTTTAAAAAAACACTATATAAAATTCACTATTTTTTATCCATAATGTTGAATGTGTTAGATTAATAAACATTTTAAAAAGAAAAATCTTGGTGATGTTAAAAATTGCCACAAAACATTGATGATTTATTTAAGATAGAATGATCTATAATGACGTATTTCTAATTTGTATTTGGATACATTTTATTTATTTTAAGTTTTTCTAGTTAAATTGTTCACCTATTTTGCATATGATACATAAGTGTACATTAGGCTACAATAAAATTTGTATTTTATATGAATACTACTTTATGAAAATTGAGATGTAGTAAAGCGTTTGTGTAGTGGTGATGGCGGGGGGTCCCATATCACAGATTGGAGGAGGGTACAAGATTAACCCTGCTGACATTAAATATTAATGGATTTAATTCGGATAATTAAAAAATGAATACTTACTACCTTATAAAAATCGAGATGTAATCGAGTGTGTATGAGGAGGGGGACGAGACCCTTGCACCAGCTCTGAGCCATGGTCCTACAACAGATCTTTGATGTTAGCATTGACTAGTCACAAAACTTATGGAGGAAGAATGTCAATTCAGAGGAGAAAAAAAACATTAATTGTATTTATTTTCAATTTTTCTAGTTAAATTCTTCACCTATATTACATATAATCCATTATCCTTAAATATAATACACCACATACACATATATATATATATATATATATATATATATATATATATATATACACATTAAGAATTGGACAAAGTCAAAAATTTATTAAAGACATTTTTATGTTTAGCATTCTTTTTATAGATACAAGTATTTAAGTAAATGCTCTGTTTATAATAAACAGTATTAAATAACATTTACGGCCTGAATGTCCAAAAATTTTTTAAAAATATTCGTCCTTTCAGGCGGTAAATATTATTATATTATTGTATTTATTAAAAGAATGTTAAAAAGAATGTTAAAATGTCTTTTATAAAATTGTCGGACTTTGTCCAATTCTTAATGTATGATGTCATTGTTTACATTTGATACGCCATGAGCAGTTATGAATGTACAAGATTCATGGAAGATTGAAGTTTATAAGCAGTAAATTCGACCTTGCCTACAAACACTTCTTTGTGGCCAAGTCGGTTAAGGCACGTCAGCATAAATGATGGTTCCGTATAGGATGCAGGTTCGAATCCTGTCAAAGGACGAATAATTTCTCGGACATTCAGGCCGGTAAATGTTATTTAATACTGTTTATTATAAACAGAGCATTTACTTAAATACTTGTATCTATAAAAAAGAATGTTAAACATAAAAATGTCTTTAATATATATATATATATATATATATATATATATATTTTGTGTATTTAGGTAACAAATTCTCTTTTAGGTATTTCTGATTGAATAAATTATAAACATTATGTTTGCTTATTTTTGTCATAATTCTTTCATATTCACAAATATTTTTACCATTACAATTGAATGTAGTGCATTTCTTGCCTTATTCAATTGTAATATATGGAAAAATATTTGTGAATATCAAAGATTATGATCAAAATAACGAACATAATGTTTGTATTTTCAATCAGACATATATATATATATATATATATATATATATATATAATTTTTTTGTCTATATTTCTGAGATGAGGTATTATGTACACTATTTACATTGTTTGGACTATTGTCCTCATCTTTGTTGCCATATTTATCACAACACAGGTGGTTGGAATATACCTGATTAAGGCAGTGGAGAACTTGGAGAGGGGAATTAACAGGAGATAACTGATAACTGACATCCATTAGACATTGAACAGTCTACCTCAGTGAGCAAAATAAAGGGTTCAGTTTGACGTTCCAACCACCTGAAAAAGGCCGGAGTGTACAACAGCCGAAACGTTGTGACAAATATGACAAGAAAGATGAAGACGATTGTCCGAACAATGTAAATTGTGTAATTTTTTTTGAGTGTAACAATTGAGGGACAGTGTGTAAAATTTTGACATGAGATACACAGAAGTCAAGATACCCTTTCATGTCCACATGTAAAAAGTTACAATGTTGTAAAGTACAGAGAAGTTACCCTGAACAATGGTGACACAGAATTTAGTTTTTACTGTAAACTATCTCTTGTATCCCCTGTTGCTATTAAGAAGCATGCATACACATACTGACTATCATACAAATGATGAAAGATTAAAGTTATATTTGTTTTTAGAAGAAAAAAAGAAACATGACAACATTTCAGTTTCTCACATATGTACATAAATTATATTTGTTTATTTCTTCCTAACTGGCCGTAAAAAGGAAATAAAATACAGATAAATTCATAAAACAAATAATCAACACGACTAATGTTGTCCATAACTCATGTCTCTCATAATTTTTATTTAACTATAGTTCTTTTTTTCTTTCTAAAAACAAATATCAACTGAATTTGGGTGGGTAGGTCATTGTTAATTTTTACACTTCCCC